GTAAAGTTATACCTTTTATAAAGGAAAATAAAATATAAAAAAAATAAATAAAAAATAAAAAAAGAAGTATAAGTTTGGGCGCAAGTATCAAATATTGTCGTTTCAACGTTCTCTAAACTACCTTTGCATGATAAGTAGGGGTGTTTTTCCCCCGATTTTATACGTTTTCGATAATGTGCTGAGTTAGAACTAATGATATAATTGAACCAATTTTGGGTAAAAATCGATAAAGCGGTTACCGAGATACACCTATGTATTCATAAAGTGGGCAGTGCCATGCCCAATTCCCAAGAGTCTATAGTAGTCTTATTTATTGTTAAGAGATTGTTGTTACTATTAACTTGGAGTAAATTAGTTGCCTCAGTTATTGAAATATAGGAGTTTTCGTATTTATGAAATTTGCCATTATAAGGGAAGCGGGTGTAATTTTAGTCCGATTTGAATAATTTTCAACGAATTATTTTTCCGTACCACTTTTATTAAGTGCACCGAGTTTGGTTGAAATTGATAGATCCGTTACCGAGATACACCATTGTGGTTTATAATAATATAATTTTCTGTTAAGCGGTAATTGCAATCATCGATTTTAAATAAATTTGCTTCAATAGCAGTGCTGACGCTGTCACTTCAATTGAAGTTTTTCACTTCACTTTGGAAGCCTTCACTTCCTCACTTCATTTTACTTCGTTTTACTTCACTTTCCACATATTAGATTCATCTTCAAAATTAATAAAAATAGCTTTGAAATAAATGAATGGTAAAGTATTATAATAATTTAGTACATATTTGACGAAAATAACAATTTTATTTTAGTTTTCATACATCTTCAATTTTACAGCAAAAAGGAAACATATAAGTGAATCTGATGATTCCGTTGGTGCTGTGTATCTGGTGATGACATTGCTGATGTGAATCGATTAATTATATTTTAGTGTTAATTTCATCAGAACTGTAATTTTAGGTTTTCTTTCCTCAGCGTTTGAAACATTGTGATTTTAAAGATATTCCAGCACTTTCACTTTTAGTGTGTTTTCACTTCGATCGAAAATTAGCAAATGGCAGCATCTCCCAAATACCACACTTGGTCACAGTCAGGGGTGGGGGGCTTAGGTTTTTATCATGTAGTCAGTATCCACTAGGAAAATCTAGCGTTTTTTTCGAGCTACATTCAAATATGGCGCGCAGTGTTTGGCGCTTCTTAAACTCGCTGATGGCAACACTTAGGAACATATGCCGAGACGTCAGCTGATTTAAAACTGATAGTTTGAATTGCTGACTACAAAATAGCAAAATAGACACTTTTCTGTTTTTTTTTTTTAAAGCAAGCAGCTCTTGGTCCTTCTATTATATTATTAAATATCATTAAATGTCGTTGTACGATCGGCTGTCCAATGCGTTTATTAAATTTCTCAAGGATTCCTTTTCAATGCAGACAATACAGAAAAAGACGATTGAATTTTGGGTGTCTTTGAGAGATTAGTACAAAAACAACCCAAAGGAGCTGGAGCGTCTCACACAATTAAAAATCGAAGAACATTGTCAAATTGCGACTAAGAAAAATGCTCGTCCCCTCAATTTCTTCGTAAAGGTGAATATTCTCAGCGTATTTCTTTAAATGCTTTAAATGATTTATATTGTTTGAATTTTTGAACATTGGTGATGTGCGTCTCTTTTTTGTATTTGGTGAATGTAGCTACCTGCACGAAAAGCTTCAGCCACTCAAGGTGATCTCAAAGTGCTTCCCAACACCGAAGATTTTAATAACAACACTACAGAAGAGTCTGTTTCTACTTATACTACTACTATACTACTATATATAATCAAACACTTTCTGCTCTGCCAATGTCGATGTATTTTTTTCTTCAACTTTCGTAGCTTAAATTTGGATTTTTTAATTTTATGGGTAGTCGTACAATACTGGTTACATTCTTTTTCTAGCCTGAATTCAATGAATTTTCCGTCCACTCTTCTGTTTCAATACGTTCTTCATCTGTATCTACAAAAGCTCTGACACCAAAACAGGATGCTTTGAAATCTGAAATTTCAGTACTTGAAGCCGAACTAAATGTTAGAAAGCGAGATGCGGGACGTGGAAAAGACGGGATTGAGAAGGAAATGAAAAAATTAAGGCATGATACTGATGTGAAGAAAAAAGTGTTAAAAAACAAAGTAGTACGAGCAGAAAATATGCGAAAATTTAGGGAAAAACCAAAAAACTGAAGTTGTGAGCCTGAAATCCGCTCATCCCAACGTGCAATCTTCGTCTATACGTACTCAGCCAGGACGCCCTTCACTTGCAGAAAATCAGTCAGGCCTTCATCAAGCAATTTGTGGCATAGCAACACATGGAAGCTCAGCTGCTGATCGACGTCGATCACAAGTATTGAGAACTTGTACGACTCTCGATGAATTACATGCACGGCTTGTTGAAGATGCATTTTTTATTTCGCGAACATCCGCATACCGTAGGCAGATTCCAAAGTTTGCTGGATCTTTAGAGGGCAAGCGCCATGTTACAACTGTACCTGTGAGGCTGTGTCGAGCAAAAACAGATAGACACCGAGATCATGTCGATCAATTTTTCTGCAAGTCTACTGCCAACGGTCTCGAGGAACTTGCATCTATACTTGGGCCTGACCAGGTAGTTTTTATCTCTCAAGATGATAAAGCAAAGGTACCGAATGGAAAAACAGCTGCAAAAGTACAGGCACATGTTTTAATGCATATGAATTATAAAGTTCGCCTCGATGACCATGACTTTACTGTTGGATTACGCCATCAACTGACTCCATATGCTGGTATCATAATCAAAGAGAACTGCATAGGCAGAAAAGAAGCGGTTACATATTCTGGTCTAGCGTATATCGTAATCCGCAGTGGAAAGCAGAGCAAAGCAACAACTCACGACAAAGACATTATCAAACTTCTCACATTAGATGATTTTAAAAATCTGGCCTTAGGAAAGGATAGGGAAATCAAGGCGGTAATGATTTTGTCAGTGGATGGAGGACCCGATGAAAATCCACGCTATAAAAAGGGTGCGATTTAGGCGGGCTGTTTGTGTTTACGAATGCACCCGGTCGATCGGCTTACAACCGAGTGAAGCGAAGGATGGCACCATTGAGCCGTGAGCTCGCCACGGTAGTACTTCCTAATGAACACTACGTGTCCCATCTCGATTCTCATTGAGCAAGAATTGAAAAACTTTCAGCATGCATAGATATTTTAATAGAGTGGCATACAGTATTCTCTATTACCAAAATATTAAAACCTAAATTTTAATTTATGTTGTTTTTAGGCGAAATATTAGCTGAGATTTGGTCCCAGATAGTTATTGACGGCCACAACGTGATAGCAGTATATGTGCCTCCTGGATAATTCCTTCCGGAACCTACACAAGTTTCTGACATCTGGTATGGGAATCACGTTCGTTAAAGTCAATATTGTTTTCAAATAATTAAGTGTGCCGATGATTCCTGCTGTGCTCCTTGCCGAAGTTCACTAAATACTATTCTGTACCAAGGCTTTTTGCCGGCACCTTTTCCGATGTCACAAACCCCGTTCGATGTACTAAACCGAGATGAAGTCAGATCGGAAATTTTTCCATCATTGCTTGCGCGGCAATGTATAACACTACGCCCGGATCTCTCACAGGGTAGAGAAATACCCTACGATACATACCGCCCATCTATTAAAACCGAGATCACCGGAAGAACATCCTCAATTTGTGGACTTTATTTTGCCTCAGAAATTTCTTTACGCAACCATCGAAAAAACGTGCCCCTCTGCGTGTTCTCTCCAGGAGACCACAGTAGGTAGGCCTTGTGTGTCGTGAAGGAATGCGTGGAGTGGATAGACGTCGAGGCTGTCAATGAAGAGATAATAATCACGTCTGAGGAAACTTCCGATGTTATCGCCCCCGTGATCTACGATATATCCGAGTGAATNGGCTGTCAATGAAGAGATAATAATCACGTCTGAGGAAACTCCCGATGTTATCGCCCCCGTGATCTACGATATATCCGAGTGAACTGATGCTGGGAACGTGTTTGTTGGAGATGATTGAGATGGAAAATAAAGGTTAATAAAAATAACAAGACCTCTGTTTTGACATCTGTTTTATCTTGATAATATTTTTTCCACTTGTAATTATAGGTATGCAAGTACTCTTGCCGTCACGCAGCAAGCGCCGTGTTAATAAAGACAAATATAAGCCAAATACATTTTTTTTACCTTTCTGTTAGTAAGAAATGATTCTAGCCATATTTATATGGGGTCTTGGAATATATGTATATATCGAAGTTCAAGTGTCCTATTTTCTTGTATATTTTTAATTCAATCGCTGCATCGAAAATACCAATTTTTATATACGATGCATCGATGTAATATTTCGTTGCATCAGATCGAAAAAACGTCGATGTATTATATTTACTTGCATCCCTAACAGGCTAACCTAATATTCACGCACGCCGCCAATTTATTTTCAAAAATTTCTCATGCACTCTAATAATAACTCAATTTCCAATTTTTGTTCTGCGTGACATTTTGATTTGACGTTTCGCTCAATGAAATCAAATGCAAACGCATGCAAGCCAATTTCGGGTGACGCAAAAAAACAAATTCGACGGCATGCGTACCAAAACGCAAGCCGCGAATATTAGGTTAGCCTGTAAGGCAAATATGGTACCACACGCAATGATGCCAAATTTAGCCACAAAGAAGAAAGTTGCAGAGCAGCTTTTTTGCAAATAAAGACGAAATTCGATTTTTTTAGAAAAATTCGTATTCATCCGAAGATTAAAGTTCGAATCTCGAAGCTTCGAATATCGTATTTACCCATCCCTACGCGTGGTCACCGAGGGGGGAGGTGGGGTTAAAAATTGCAAAAAGTGGGTCCCGTAGTATCGGTACGTTCCCATAGCTGATCATTACATCTATTTCAGTGCTCTTAACATGCAGTTGTACATTAACTATTTTTTTTATTCCGAATTTATTTTAAGAATAACAAATGATGCACGTGAAGATGAAATGGAGGAAAATATGGGTCAAGTAAACACAATGATCGGTAATCTTCGAAATATGGCTTTGGATATGGGATCCGAGTTAGAAAACCAAAACAGGCAAATTGACCGAATAAATCGAAAGGTATGTATGTTATATTTGCTGACAAACTTAGTAAATACATGCACATAAAAATTATATGGAATCATTATTATTTATTAACAGCGGGTACTCTAATACTTATTTCCAAACATTTACTAGCGGAATTCGGGTAAAACTAAACATTTAAAGGAGTTAATGAAAAGTGATTGAAATTTTAGCAACAACGCAATGTAAACCAACGTACAGATGCTTGAAATACATTGAAAAGGACGCGCTGCGTACCACAGCTGTCGAACTATTTTAACGCAAGAGACGTAGAAAATTATTTTGGCGCCGACAGGATACACCGCGACTGTGGTTGTAGCCATGTTAGATCTATTTCTATTTTTCGAGCGACATATAAGGTTGCTCCTCTTCATTTAAGCATGTTGTCGCTGTCCTGTTAAAAAATGCATGTAGCTATTAGGGATGGGTAGGGGGGGTGGTTGAAATTCGATTTTTTGTTATTTCGAACATTGCCCAACCATTCGATTATTCGATACGAAATTTTATGGTGCAAATTTGATTTAATTCGAACTTTTTCGAATTTAAAAAAAGAAATTTGCTGAAAATTTAAAAGTTTGTTTGTGAGGATGATAAAGCAAATCGAAAAAGAGATTCAGTTGAACTTGATTAACTATCCAAATTGTTTTTCTTAGCTTTACAACCAAAAATAAATACAAATAAGTATTTTGTTTTCAAATTAATATCTCAAACAAGATTTCGAAAATGAATCCAAAAATTTAGCAAATTTAGTATATTGAAACTAATTTTTTGGGACGTATAACGTGATTTTATTTAGTTTTTATTTTTTGCTTTGCAAAAACAAAAGAAATTTCTACATATTTATGTAATCATAGGCATGTATGTGTGTACTTATACAACGAGTAAAAAGTCTTACATTTAATGACAACGTATAATTTGGCTTTTTAAAGCGAGATCTTTAAGTAAACAAGGAATAAAATTGATAATAGGACATGAAGAGTTCTATTGAGCCACATTTTTGGTTTGTCCATAGCTAAACTGCCGAATTACGCCAAAAATATCACTTCACATTTAACATCAGTGATGAAAGACGGAATGTCAATCACCTGACACCAAAATTTTACGACATTTTGACATGCACTGCGATATCTACATTTGGTCATTTCCTATGATGTGTTTCACAACAAGAGAACAGCTGTTAGTTAAGGCAGTTTTTAATGTCAGTAATTTCGGCATAATGAAAACCAAGCGTTAGATAAAGTATTAAGATCATAAAGCATCTGAAATATTATTTATTTTTTATGAACTTACTTGTGTAGCTTTGATGTGCAACTACTTAAATACATAAATACATTTCACTGCGAGATAATACTAAAACATTTATGGTGACGTGCAATAATGGAAATGGAATTAATGCCACTGATATTAATACACAATTGAAAAATGAACTAATGTCAATGACTTTAATATACAGGCCATTATTCCATGACATAAACACACTTTTATTTTGTGAATTTAAGTCTAAATAACAAAATTTATTTTTATAACATTACATATTTCACTTTTAGAGGTTGAATCAATACAAAAGTGACTTAATGTCAATTGACATTATTTCACTTTTGGCCTGTGTATTATTGTCATTGACATTATTGCACGTCACCACATGTATCGAAGTTCAAGTGTTCTATTTTATGGTATATTTTTAATTCAATTGCATCGAAAATATCGATTTTTATATACGAAGATTAAAATTCGAATCTCGAAGCTACGAATATCGAATTTACCCTAGTCGCCATCGCCATGGGCGTAGCGAGAACGAAATTTACGGGGGAAGGTTGGGGTAGGTCTCCGATACCAAAAAAATAAAAATATTTCAAAACCATGGTGGAATAATAACAAGGTGTTGTCAGTAGCGATGTGTTTGTTGTAACTTTGTCAAGATCGGCATGCTTATTTTCAGTGCTGCTGATCTTAATGTTTATATTACTATTCGTTGGGAAATAGTATCTAAAATACTCCATTTTAGTATTTCGTTTTATAGCGATTTTTAAAGAACTTGGTGTTTTCAGAACGATATTAATATTTAAAATTGCTGGATTTGTATAATTTTTATCCTCAATATATAAAATATAAAAGATATCGTGGCTATCAATTGAAAAATACGTACACAAAAATCGTATGGAAAGGCGACATTTTTATAATAAATATATTTTGCTGCATTGTCATAATATCGAGCCAAATGGACTACTGATACACTAGAATAGAGCGGCAGCATGGTTAAATTACGATTTCGCTTATATTATCGATATTTATTTGTTTTAATCTATTTAAAAAATCATTTACAGTCTTATAGGAAATTGCTTTATTTTACGGCCTTTACTTTTTCATAACTTACAATATATCGAGCCCTAACCGCGAAAATAACGTAAGCAACATTTTTTTCAAAATTTTCTTTTTGATGCAGAAATATTCCTAGAGCATCTAGATGCATTTCTGCATCAAAAAGAAAGTTTTGAAAAAAATGTCGCTTACGTTATTTTGGCGGTTATGGCTCGATATGTCCAAGCTGTGTGGAGCTGACGATGCAAACATGTATTCAGGCTTATAAGCCTGTAACTATACATTTTCCTACATTTAATTTGAAATATTATGCACAAACGGATTAAAAGTAATAAATAATTAGTACCTTTTCTACTAATTTAAAATGCGTGACCGGAATAGACCTGCCGAAAAAGTGAGGTTAGGTTACTGACAACACCTTGTTATTATTACACCATGTTTCAAAACCAATAATTATTGCTAAATATTTTTTTATTATAGCTTAAAATTCTTGTAACCAATAATAGAGGTATGTTGTACATTAAGAGTGCCCTTATTTGTACAAATCAAAATTTCATCGGGCGCTTCCCGGATATTTGTTTCTTTTCGTCTGAAATACTTACAGTAAAAATTTGGGGTCAATAGGATAACGCTTGATAGAAGCGAAAATAACGTAAAAAAGAAATATGGTTTTTGCTTCAAAAATTAAGTTATTTTATTATTGATATCGATGTAGCAATATTATTGAATTTACAGCATTTCATAAAATTTGTTAAAAACGTATGCTGTATTAAATAACACTCTTTGTAGGTATAAACTATGAATTTATTTTACTTCTCCAAGAACACATGAACAAATTATTTATTTTTTTAAACAAACCAGCTTATTCTAGAACCCGAATTTTCGTAATTCATAATTCGTAGCTACGCTACGAAAAACGAAAAATCCACATGCTGCAACCCTTGCGGAAACATGTGCAGCATTGCCAGCTATCAGTTGTTTTTCGAAGATAGCTGAATGAAGGAAAACAAAGTGGAAAGGAATTAAAAAAACACTCATCATGTGCTTGTTTATGGTAAAATTGGTTAATTTTACATATTTCGAGGAAAATTATGGATTCTGGTGTATTTGCAATTATAGCAGCAGAGTAAGCGGGCGCTATGGCAATGGATTCACAAAGATATGCGGAGCTGTCGGGCATAGTAACCATGGGCGCATCCATGTCAGCTTCTGGTTGAATTGTTGAACCACAAGCCAGAACTCCTCCTATGCCTGAAGCTCTGGTTCCAATCCAGTTAATGCAATAACAGCTTCTTTCAAGCCATTGAAAACATGCACTTTGTTAGGTCCACCACCTGTTGCGCTTGCTTCTGCCTTCGGCCGCGCTTAGGGATTATACCCCTTACTAAGTATAATTCTCCTTTCTGAGTTGCGGAGAAGAGGGGCTTCCGCATGTCAAAAGTATACAACATTTCTTGTGCATATATTTTTGCGCAGAACCCACGTCGAAATTTGCAAAAAAGGTCATAGTGCAAACCGAGTTTATTAATAAGCTAGTGGTAGGAAATTTGAAACATTTATCTTAAATAAGATGTGAATCCTTTGATTACATGTGTATGTTAAAGTTTTTGGATTCGGGTTATGCGTTTGGACACAACAACCGAAAATCGTTGTACATTAACTAAACCGGACCCAAGTTTCTTGATAAGGGGCAACAAATATTCTTTTTTGCTCGTTTATACAGCGCAGTGGATAAAAATATACGTATATGCGAAAGGCAAATTTATCTGTTTAAATGAACACCACCAATATTTCTTGCAAACACACATCGATTTACATCTTTTATTTCGCCTCCGACAAAGAATTGTTTTCGTACACAATTACGCAAAAAAGCTTACTCGTTCGTTTTTAGGCATACCATTGGTACGAATTTCGAAAATTCGAAAATACCATTCGGATTGCAGCATACTATTTCTACGATTCGTAGTAAAATCCGAATACAAAAGAGTTGCAGAATAGGGGTGTAAATCTGATTTCTTGTATGAAGAGTATCTCTTTCGATAGACTTTAACAATCTGAAACGGCAATTGCTTTTCTTCTTTAGCTCGTCAATATTTTATTTAAATCTTTGATAAATTTTACACCTCGCTCGGCAGTACCAATTACAACAAATAAATTCTGACAGTGGGTCAAACCTTAATATTCGATAGTCATTTCCCAAGTCGATGGGTCATCTTGCAAAAACGCCGACGATAAAGCAAACATTCTGCGGGATTTATGACTGGAGCAAATGATAACATCTTCGATTCCACTTTTAGACGAGCGATGGTTAAGTTTCGGCCAAGTCTTCGTAAAACGTTCAAAAATTTTAACATCAGGTACATTGTTTGAATTTAGTTTCAATTCAAAACCAGCACGGAAAATAATTCCATATATGTGGTGACGACAAGGAAACCTCATTATTTCGCGACCAATTTTTTTTCAACAAAAAAGCAGCTCCCGTTTTAGTGCCTGTATTACTCGCAGTTGTATCAAAGGACATACCTTAAACTTGATTCACAAGATTCCGCTCCACCAATTTTTCATAAACAATATTACCAATATTTTCACCAGTTGACCGGGCTATATTTGGTGCGCTGAGGAATTTGGTTGTGCCATTGTAACTCACAAGAATTGCGATACGATCAACTTTATTTATT